TAACAGTTAGTATGTAATAGATAGACTATATTCTATATGATATATAGCCTATAGCCTTCCTCAATTATTAAACGGGCTATCTAAATACAAAAACAATGTTTCTTATAATTAGTAGTTCCTAAGATAAACGCAACACAAAAAAACAAACAAGCTCTGCCTCTTTATCTATACTAATATTATAAAGAGGTAAAGTTTGTGAGTTTGTGACGTTGTAGGGGGTAATCTCTGGATTTACTGAACCGATTTAGATGAAATTTGGTAAAAAGATAGTTTGAGGAAATGACATAGGATACTTTTTATCCCGGAAATCATCCCTTAAGGGGGTGAAAATAGGGATTTAAGTTTGTACGGGGAAATAAGCTAGGGACGAAGCGAAGCAAGGGTGAGTTGCTATTATATTAGTAAAGTTAAGAATATTTATGCCAACGTATTAATAACTCATACATGGAGTCATATTATCTCTTCACACCACACAAAGGCACAAGCCATAGCTGGAAATATTCATTCACCTCTAAACATGCATTGAAATGGATAATACAGTAACTAAATAATATATGTGCTCGACCACGCATTACTTAACTGTTCCATGTTCCAACCGAGCTAGATAGCCTAATTACAGGTGATACCGACCCGCAACGTATATCTGATTGTTATTAATGCTGTTATATACAGGATGTGTTGGTTTAAATACTATAAGGACAATTAGACTGCGATTGTAAATGAAATGTGTATGTGTGGATGTTTGTTATTCCTATACGCTGAAATGACTAGGCATATTTAGATGAAATTTAGTACATAGATCATGATCTAGAGTTAATATATAGTATTCTCTTAGTAATAAAAGATGCAAAAATGTTGAGCTGCATCTTTATTATATTCTTCATTTAATAATGCACCTTAGTATGCAGTTACAAGTATATACTAAAAATATTCAAAATGACTTTTAATTTACTTGTTTTTAAAAGAATTATAATGAGAAAAGATCGCATTAGATTTCATTATTATGTTATTTGTAAAACATCCTGTATATGGTAGTTTCGATGTAAAATAATAACTTATATTTATCTCTAATAAATAGTGTACTTTAAGAATTAAACTTAATAAATAGATAAAAATATCTATTAATTAACCAACGTTAATTAATTAATATAATTAATTAATAAACATTATTTATTAATTAATTATTTATTTTCGATCCTAAAAAGTATCTAATTTTATATTTAATTTAAAATAACAATAACTAGCGACTTTCCCTTGATTTGCTTGGCTGCCTTTTGTATTTATAATTATGTAAAGACAGCGCCAACTTTTGATAAATTTTATTACTAACAGTTAATATATTGTATGGATTAATGTAGGTACATTAATCCAGTTATTTTCTAGTCCACTCATTACCACGGGAAGGAGTACTAAAATATACACACATATATACACTAACATTTATAATTAATAATAGTATGATATGATAGGCCATAGAGACTAAACTAGGCTATATTCAAAATTAGAAATGAGAATATTGGAGGAAATCTGAAAGTGGCACCAGTGACAGAGAAGTGTGTGTAGGAGTAATGAGTTACCGTACTATGGAAGTAAACAAACGTAAACGACGATGATAACGGCAGATAGAGAAAAATGGAAGAAGGAAACATGTTATCAATATAAATGAAATAAAGAAGGAGAAGAAGAACAAGGTAGGTTTTTGAGAACGGGTTTTATTACTGTGGTAATTCAAGTGGGATTATTACATAACGGGCAAAGAACTCATCTACTCAATAATAAAATCACCCTAAGATTTTCGAAAAGAATTTTTAATAATTCATCTCATACACTTTGTATGGAAGCTCGTTTTAGATGGTTTATGTCTATACATCTATGTATACCTAAGGTAAATAGAAGGACTAAATTTCTACAATTATCAACTTAGCTTTCCACATTGCATTTCTCAAGCAGTTTTTTTCAAATATTCCCAGCAAAATTATCGAACTTAACAAATATGTACAGTAACCCAACCAGTTCACCATAAGTCAGCAAATCATCCAAAAAAATATATCAATTCAATAATAATGTTTATAATAAATTATATAAAGATGAAAAGCATATATTAAATAAAATATTTTATCATCAACAACGATATATTTTAGCCTCGCCTCAGGGAGAAACGCTGAAAGGATCTCGGAGACGTTTGGTCGGTTTTTTTTTACTAATATTACTCAGGAAATATATTTTGTTCAAAGACTTCGTGATTTTTTTATTTAATCGTCCATGATAATAGAAAAGATGAGATCCTTAGATGATTTTCTAAAAGATGAACAGTTTAATTTCTATACATTTTTCAGTTTTTTTTTGTACTTATGCTTTTGAATAACGATAGAATTGTTATGAGAAAATTTCTTATAATAATTACTAGTGATATAAATAAAATAAATAAATAGTATAATGTAGAATTTTATTTATATCTAAACTAATATTATAAATGTGAAAGTTTGTGAGTACAGATATTTGTTACTCTTTCACGCTAGAACGGCTGAACAGATCTGGATTAAATTCGGCATACAGATAGATTATAGTCTGGAATAACACATAGGCTGCTTTTTATTGCGGAAAAAATTACGGATGCCGTGAGATAGAATTTTTTATTCCTAGAGGGGAACCCAAGCAAAGCGAGGGTAAACCGCTAGTTTCACATACAGTGCATACTACACTACACGATTGCGAAAATAATAATACAATACTGTTTTTTTTAGCAAGATTAGCTTTAAAAAAAGAATTTATTATATATTAGGAATAACAATAGTAACTGCAAGTATTTATATTGCATTTTTTTCCAAGCGAGCACGCTACCAATTAACTACGACTACTTCCAAAATTTATGTGACTTTGAAAATAAAAAGAAATCTCCCAACCCGAATTTCAAAACAAAGACGGGGGACGCCACGAAATCTGCTAGTATTATAAATATATTGGATTCCAGTCCCATTTTAGCCATATTTGTACCGGTCGTAAAAGCATTTGTCACGTAGGTACTTAATGACCTCTTATATCGAGTACCCTATTAGGGACTATTAAGTATTTTGTTCGACGCTCCGATAGCCGTCCTGCCTAAGCAAACCTCTTTCACAAGAATTGCATTCTCATCATTTTAGACTATACAATAGTACCAGGCAATTTTACTTAGTTAATGTTTTCGCTACCTGATAAAGATCTCTATACTTAGTAGAAAACCTATGTATTATCCAAGGATATTACTTAGATGAAAATGTGTGGAATTACGACAAATTAATATAAGCCAGTTAACTTTAATGTTGAAATATAAATACTGTTATTGCTGAGTAGAGTAGGTACTTAAAAGAGCAACGGTTTAGTTTTTCGCTGACATTTCTCCTTCCTTCTGAGCCATTCACGGACTGTCTACTCTGACAAATATTAAAATTACACATAATAATACGATCACTCACAACAAGCCAACCCGCACTTGACCAGCGTGGCAGACTATGGCCTGATCCCCCTCGTATGGAAGGGAGGCCCGTGCCCAGCAGTGGGACGTTAAAAAGGGCTGAATACAATACGATCACTCACAGACATTCGCATATTTTATAATAGTAGTGTGATAACCTATGTGCTATTCCAGACTTTAATCTATCTCTGTGCCAAAGTTCATCTAGATCCGTTCAGCCGTTCTGGCGTGAAAGAGTAACAAACATCCATACATCCTCACAGGATAACAGGAAATACAATAAACATGACATATGACCTTTCAATTTAGTTATCAATACACTGTCTATTGAGTTAGCTGTAGACACTTCATTGAGTATGCATCTAATCGCATTAGTACTTGAATGGCGTTATAGGGCTCTTATGCATTGTACGTTGTCTTGTTCCCGTTAAGAACCTCTTCAGCCTTTACTTTATACTCGTAAATTAAATCATGCATTTATTTAAAGCAAAAATAAAGTACAGTATACTATACCCGAATATATTTTTACAAAAATTCGACTGCTGAGGCCCAAACTAAAAAAACTCGTATTTTAAATTTCTTTTAATAATATTTTGGTATATTTTGGGATAAGTCTCACACCCTGCCTCATAATATCTATTAATTTATGCGAGATAGGATTCCCAAGACAAGAAATAAATAAAATAGGTGTGTATTCAGCCCTTTCTAACGTCCCACTGCTGGGAACAGGCCTCCCTTCAGTACGAGGGGGATCAGGACATAGTCCACCACGCTGGCCAAGTGCGGATTGGCGGACTTCATTTGTCTTTTGAAAACTTGCTAAGTTCTCTCAGACATTCAGGTTTCCTCACGATGTTTTCCTTCACCGTTAAGGCAAGTGGCAATCATGTTGGAAATGATTAGCACATGAAAATATCAGAGGTGCGAGAACCGGGATTTGAACCCGCTTCATTCGATTTCCGAAGCGAGCGCGTTACAACTGGGCTACCACTGAAATAAAATAGGTAATATATATTTCAGGTATCAAGAATTTCTATATATCACTACAAAGATAATATTTGTACGGCATTAATTTGATAATAATAAGCAAAATGATAAAATCTAATACATATTTTTTTTTAATATTAGCCCAGTTACTGAAATTGTTAGCAAACAGTTTAAATTTGTTTTAAGATGTGTTAATAAAACTATTTCTTACTTGTTTAATATGTATTAATAAACTATAGTTACATGTTCTTAGTATTATTAACTCTAAATCTAATTTCACAGCTTCCTTCAGTCGTCTCTTTTTATAACTAACTTCCATAGATATTTAACAGATAATATTATGTCCACTCCCACAGATAATCAATAATAACATAACTGTTCTCTCAAAATCTTTCCCTTTTTAATTTACATTAAGAAAAATATATAATATATAATCATAATCATAAAATTGCAATTGAAGTCAATACTCATATATATTATATATGAGTATTGATTGAGATAACAAAATTTAATTAACAGGATTTGAATATGTGTAATTATAGCATTCTTAAACAATTTAACACTCATAATCATCTAAATATCTAGGTCGTCTAACAAGTCTTTCAGATCTTCTTTGAACTTGCTCTCCATTATTATTTATAGATTCATCCTCCGCCGAGCTTGCTATATCTGTATTGATCAATATCTCATTTTGATCTGAAACACCCGATGACTGACCTTCAGTATTATTATAACCCCCACTACAAACATCATCAAAATGTAAAAAACTTGAATCCCCATACGATGGATTACAATCAATTGCTTTATTCAGATGCCATCTATTTCGTCTATATTTCCCTTTACTGGTACTTACAATAAAAGACCTAGGTTCATCACATTTTTTTATAATAGTTCCATAACACTTTAAATCGGAAACCCACACTTTATCATTTAACTTTAATTCTGATAATTTTGAGACCCTATGCCTTTTATTGTAATAAAAAGCACTTTTGTACTTGCTTTCCTTCTGTTTGTTTTTAAATTGTTTATGTATTATTACAGGTTGATTTAACTTATTTGGGACTATAGGCAAAACATCTCTGAGCTTACGATTAAACATAAGTTCTGCCGGGCTATAACCCAATTCCAAAGGTGTATTTCTATATACTAGCAATGCCAAATATATATCTGTATTCTTTGATAATAGTGTTTTTGCAATCTTAACTCCTGACTCTGCTAAACCATTACTTTGGGGATAATATGGACTACTTGTAATTAACTTAAACCCATATTCTTTAGAAAATACATTAAACTTGGATCTAAATTGTGTTCCACAATCCGTTCTCACAATCTCTGGAATGCCATATCTTGAAAAAGCTTCCTTACATTTAATTATTACTGTTTCTTCTGTCATATCAGTCAGTTTGGCAATTTCTAGAAATCTCGAATAATAATCAATCATTACAATATACCAATTATCGTTAAATTTAAATAAATCCATTCCTATTTTCTGCCAAGGTCTATCTGGTAATGAGTCTATTATCATTTCTTCTTTAGGATTTTTTAAATGTTCTAAGCATTTTGTACATGATTTTACTTTGTTTTCTATTTCTTTAGACAACCCTAACCACCACACTGACTGTTTTGCTCGCTCTCTACATTTGGAAATTCCTAAATGACCCTCATGAATTTTGTTCAGTATATCTTGTTGCATTTGTTTAGGTATAACAATCCTTGAATTAAAAAGAAGTAGCTCTGATTCAATGGAAAAATTTTCTCTATATTGATAATAATCCTTAAAAATTCCTAATTTATTTTTGCTTGGCCACCCTTGAATTATAAATTGTTTTAATTTACAGCATATTTCACAATTATTTTGTTCTACCCTAACCTTGTTTAATGTATCATATGACAATGTTTCACTAACAAAAAAATTTAACTCTAATTCTGAATCTATAAACTCTTTAGTGTTTTCACTAGGTAGAGGTTATCGTGATAAAGCATCTGCTACTGCCAAGTCTTTACCAGGAGTATATTTTATTTCATAGTTAAATTTACTTAACTTTAGTCTTAGTCTCAATAACCGTGGACTCAAGTCATTTAATTGTTTTGTTTGTAATATTTGTAAGAGTGGTTTATGGTCTGTTTCTAAAATAACCTGAATCCCTATAATATAATCTTTAAATTTTTCTGTAGCCCATGCCAAAGCTAGGCATTCCTTTTCTATTTGTGCATAGTGTTTTTCTGCTTCTGTAAGAGTTCTACTAGAATACATTACTACAGACCTTTGGCCCTGCCTATTCTCTTGCATAAGTGCAGCACCTAACCCGAAGGAACTACTGTCAGCTGATACAATGATCTTTAAACTCGGATCATAATGTGATAAAGTTGGTGCTGATTTAAGTTTTTCTTTTACTTGATTAAAAACTTGATCTTGAGTTTTTTCCCATATGAACATATTACTGTCTTTTAATAACATATGCAATGGTTCTAATAAATGAGATTTATTTGGTATAAATCTACCTACAAAATTAACCATACCGAGAAATCTAAGAAGCTCTTTTTTATTTTCTGGTACTTTAAATGCATTTATTGCTTTGAATCTTTCTGGATCAATTTTAATGCCCTTTTCATTTATTAAATGACCTAAATATGTCACCTCTTTTACTCTAAATGCACACTTTTTTCTGTTAATTGTTAATCCTTCATTTTGTAACCTATTTAGTACTTCCCTTAGTATTCTATCATGTTTTTCTTTAGTTTCTTCAAATACTAAAATATCATCCATATGTATAGCTACTTTTAAATCTTTGAATAAGTTAGAAAATTTCATACTAAAATACTCTGGTGCACAATTTAGACCAAAGGTAAACGATTATAAACATACCTACCAAAAGGTGTTATAATAGTAGTAATTTTCTTTGACTCTTCGTCTAGCTTGATTTGATGGAACCCTGAGGTAGCATCTATTTTAGAAAAATATTTAGCCCCCTTCAGCTTTGCTAATGTATTTTCCACCTTTGGTATTGGGTAAACCGGTCTTAAAATACTTTTATTAACTTCAGTATAATCTCCACAAATCCTAACTTTATCATTTTTAAATACTACTACAATTGGTGAGACAAAATCAGTAGGTTCTTCTATCGGACTAATTATTCCAAGTCTTTGTAATCTATCTAGTTCTGCTTTAACTTTTGGTAATAATGGAATTGATACATTTCTAGGTGTAGCATGTACATAATGTTTTGGATTTGCAACTAATTTGATATGGAATTCGTCTTTAAATACTCCTAACTCATTAAATATATTGGGATATTCTTTTTCAATTACTTCACTTATATTATCATCAGAGTTGAAACAATGAGAGATAGCACTTATAGTAAGTATATTCATATTTTCAATAGAAGGTCTCCCTAAAATAGCTCTACTTAAATTTTTTATAATATAAACTTTACCTTCATATACATTTTCTTTATACCTAAGCTTTAAATTAGTAGTTCCCAAAACCACTAATTTTGTCCCATCTAGTCCTTTGATCACATCATCACTTTTCACTATAGAGAGTCCACATCCTTTTATAATATTGTCTGGTATAGCACTTATGTCTGCTCCTGTATCAATAAGAAATTTTACTTTACTTATAAACTGGTCCTCTTGAAAAACATCTACGTCTATTAAATACTTTTGTTTTGACTCACAGAAACTAACCTCATATGTAGTTCCTGTTTCTTCCTTCTCAATATTTTTTACTATCTTGGCTCTGCACAACCTAGCAAAATGCCCCGTTTTTCGACACTTCAAGCATGTTATATTTGATGCTGGACATTTGTACCTAGGATGTCTTTTTTGTCCACAAAACCAACAATTTCCTTTTAATTGTAGTTCTTCGTTGTTTCTTTGTGCTGTTGTTGTTCCTACTTTCACCCTATTTATTTCACTTTCTTCCTTATTTTCTCTTATAATCATACTCTCTTTTTTTTGTATTTCCGCTTGCTTTCCCATTTGAATAGCCTCCTCAAGCTTTAAGTCATTTTTAAGAGCATCCTGTCACTTATATTTCTATCCCTTATGCCAATCACTACTCTATCTCGTATAAGTTCTTCTTTTAACAAGTTATACTCGCATCCCTCTGCTAACTTATGCAAATCCGTGACAAATTGATCAAAATCTTCCCCTTCCTTTTGTACCCTTGAGTTAAATTTGAATCTTTCGTAAATTACATTCTTCTTGGGAAAGAAAAATTTGTCAAAACTCTGAAGTAACTCTGTATAAGTTAAATTTTTATCAAATTGAATAATTATGTCTTCTGCCTTATCTCCCATCGAGTATAACAGAAAATCTATTTTACTTTTATCACTTAATTCTTCATTTCCCGATACGCTCATATACCTTTTGAATCTAGTTATATACTTCGGCCACTCTGCTGGCACGAAACTAAATGTTCCCGGAGGCGCCATTTTGAGTTGTTGGTTCCTTTCAGAATCGGGCTGTCGGACTGAGGAAGTTTGTGCTTCGTCTGCCACCATGTTTTAAGATGTGTTAATAAAACTATTTCTTACTTGTTTAATATGTATTAATAAACTATAGTTACATGTTCTTAGTATTATTAACTCTAAATCTAATTTCACAGCTTCCTTCAGTCGTCTCTTTTTATAACTAACTTCCATAGATATTTAACAGATAATATTATGTCCACTCCCACAGATAATCAATAATAACATAACTGTTCTCTCAACAAAATTCTTTTAATTTATTACTGCTTCTATTAATTTCTATGGCACGCTTCTGTTAGTCATAATTCCTTAGAATGTATTTAACTGACATAAAGAGAGTTATAGGCAGAAAGCAGTTAAGTGTATTTTATAATTACGTTTCGAGCCCCTCAAGTTAAGTGCAGTAGTTCAACCTCATTAGTATTCAAGGCAAATTTTAGCACCAGCTCCTAGATTGTGATTAATATTTCAAACTTAACATTTTTTAATATTTTCCAACATGAAAATGACTTTTTTGAAGCAAAAATAAGTTTCAATCTTCAAAGGTCGCATCGTTACATAAAATTATGGCAATAATTTTTTTTCTTACAATTACAATCTTTAGTATATTTTTGAATCTTTTTTTTAATTTTACCTTGAAGGATTTCAAAAAATCATACCTTTCAATGTCTAACATTTTAACAGCAGTTTAAGATTAAACAAAAATTTACTCATATCTTACTACCCCTAAAATAATGTTACAAAACAATATTCTTTTAAAACGTTTTTTTTAAATAAGTTCCTATAATCCAGAATATAAATTATAGTAGAATTTCGATCGAAACTCAGTAGTTACTTAATGAATCCCAATTAAAACGTATGGATTGAGCCTCTCATCTGCACATCATTACTGAATAAAATTAATTGCAATAATTTGGAATGCATACGAGAAAATATGTGTATTAGTCATGTATGTTTCTTCCTATTTAACTTAAGGTCTGTTGCAATGTTTCGTTGAGTCAAAAGTTTGATTCTCGACTGAATTAATAAAAATTCTTTCAAAGTACAAAAAGAAGTATTTTGAATGATTTTAATTGAGTGCTCTAATGGCCGATTTCACCAACGTCACCTAAGTTTAAGGGATCCCCTAAACATAGTTGGGGGGGCTGTTAGGGGACAATTTCTGTTTCACCGACAGTTAGGGGTCACCTAAATTCAAAATGCCACCTAAATATAGGTACTAGAAATACGGACTCTGACGATGGTAAAATGAAATTTAATTCATGGGCTAGTTTAGGGGACTTTTAAGCTAGGGATCCCATACGTGGGTGGTAGCTTATAGGTTGTTGGTGAAATCGGGCATCAGTCTCGTAGTTTAGTTATGTTGTATGTTTGTTTATTTACGTATTTCTACTCCTAAAGATCGCAGTGATGTGTTAGATATGTAATAAAAAAGGTATCTCAATAGCAGGTTATAAAATCGAAAAAAATCAATTCGAACTAGTACTTTCAAATAGTGCGTTGAAAAAAACAAACAGCTTTATAATATGGGTATTAAAAAAATCTATACTAATATATATCACACAAATGAATGCCTCAAGCGGAGCTCAAACGGGGACCGCTGGTACAGCAAGTAGGCTACAAATTGTGAAAAATTCAATAAAAATATGATAATATAACACTGGATAGAAATGATTGAATTTGAATATTTTAATAAATAGATATCTTCTGTGGTTCTGTGAAATAACAAACATCAGAACTCTCGTATTATAGAAACAAAACGTTATTAAGCAAGAAATCTCGTTTCGAGAAATGATCATTATTTATCGTTCCCGCACTGCGCAAATTTCATATATATTCGTTTTGCATATCCACGAGTACTGACTGACATACAACTTGTTATTGATAAAGTTATTAAATACTACCTTTTTATTCACCGCTTTCAAAAAGAGGAAGACTGAGTTCTAGGTATATGTTCGTCAATTGTGCTGAAAAAATAAAAATATCAAATTTTTACTAAAAAATCAAAATAAATCCGCCAAAAATCCGAAACATCATTTTATTATATTTTAAATGATAAATATTCTACTTTCTTAGATTTACGCGAATATTTGACATTTTAAATAAAACTATCTTATCGGATTTTTTGATTTGATTTAATTTTTGAGAGACTAGATTCTCTCCCGTGACCATGAATGCTATAAAGCATTCGAAACGTCGGGAACCAAAAATCCAAATAAATCCGCGAAAAAATCCGAAAAGATAGTTTTATTTAAAATCATAAATATTCTAGTGAATCTAAGAATGTGTAGGATCTACGAGTACCTTTTTAATAAATAGTAATTGTGGTGATTTTACTTGCGTCATAGTAAATTACTTCAAGACTTTCAAGCGTTTGGAAATTGGATCATATTGTTCAGTGTTGATCAAGACTTTAGTCTAAACAAATGTACATAGATATTACTCAGTATAGAATTAATCATTTGAATGTATTCAAATGCATATTTCTAATACTGTTCAACACTACCTCAAGTATCGTATCCTCAATTACTAATGTTATTTTCTCTAACAAAAATATTATTGGCAGATCTAGAAGAATAATTCAAAATTTGCTAACTATCAAATCTGCTTCATCAAACTATGTCATGTGAGGATCACACATGAATTTACTTCTAAAATATTCATATTATGTACGGTAAGGTCATATCACCACGTATAAACGATCAAATAAGCCACTTTACAAGTCACGACCAACCATTGTAGCGTGCGTGTATACAATAAGCAACTCTTATCAGAACGGTCCCTTGACATGAACTCTAAAATCTTACAAAACCCCATTATCACCTCTATTTTAATGGAATAAGGTTGCTTTTGCCATACAATAATATATTTCGGTGTCAGTTTAGTAGTCAAGTATAGATTCAAGCTAACAAGTCAGTACTTTATTGTTATCTGTTTTTAGGAGATTTTATTCGGGCAATAGTTTTGCTTAGCAAGATAAAGAATTAATGCATACTTACATGCATGTCTCTACTACATTGCTTGCTATAGCCGGAAAAAAACAAAATGATCAACTTCTATTTTCCCCATCTACGAAGATAGGATAATATGTCTATAAAATATATTGCATCGAATACATTTGCCTAGTGCTTTCGGAAGAAGCATCAGACGAGTACTTATTACTTTATCATCTATTATAACAATATTTACTTAAACATTGTTAGTTTGACTTTTATGCTACTTGTTTATAAAGTGCTGTTTATTGTACAATAAGCTATTGATGTAATTATATATATAAATAAATAAATAAATAAATCTATATACAAACGAGTATATGTAGGATATATATTTTTTACATCAACACTACCCACAGACTAAATAGTGACTTTCTGTGTACAAGTTATATCTGTGAATTTCATATAATTAATATAATAATAATAATCTCTTGTTCGATTTCGTTTAAGGCGACTAATCTCACTGAGATTACCTGTTTGTGCAGGAGTTGTTATAGCATAAAAGTGTATGCAAATTAAAGTGCACGAGAATTTAATACCGCTAACTTCCCTACTCCAGGTCTCAGATTTTTTTAATAAAACTCAATAGTTATAAATTAGCCTGAACTGGGAACTGAACCAAAACCACCAGTTCTGTGGCCGTACATGCGTACCACTATGCCAATGATGCAAGTAATGAGATCATACGGATAGCATATCACGCTTACATGTCATCATTCTTAAGATATGGAGTAACTTTTTGTAGAAGCTTAACGAACCATGACAAATATAAAAGCTGTTTAATGGTCTAAAAACGTTGCGTTATATTATGTAAAGCAGACTTTTTCAGCATAAAATAATTAAGTCCTACTAAATAAAACATTATTTTATTGATATGCCAACACCTTGGTAGCAAATAAGTTAGTTTTTTTTATAGTAAACTAGCATTGCCCGCAGCTCCGCCCGCGTTCTAATGAACAAAAACGAAATTCTTAAGTTTTACATATTAGTATACTCTTACATTGCAGTTTTTGTATTTTTTCTCAGAAATGAGACATTTCTCCGTGGTAAAAAGTATTTTATAAATTTCCCCGAATAACCAGCTATTACCATACCAAATTTAGTCAAAATACCTCCAGTGGTTTTTCTGTGATGCGGTAACAGACAGACAGACAGACAAAAAATCTTAAAACTATGGGTTCGGCCTCTGTTAGCGATAATAATGTGTATTTCAATAAGATTTTCCAAAAAATATTTAAAGCACAGATACGGCTTAGTAAAATTTTAATGTATCTATAGATGTAACTAATTTATAAAGCCAAAAAGATTGTTTTTTGATAATTTAAACTCGGACGGGGCCGCGGGTAATTTAGTAGTAATTCTAATAAAATCATAGATAGGTATAATTTGTACATTTAATTTTTTGGAATTAAAACTACGTATTTTAAAGACACATGGCGACATCTATTGACAAATATCTAAATAATACAAAAATAAATATTAATTAAAATAACTTTTTTAATGAATAAAATAGTGCTATTGATATACTTTTTCAAGATTAGCTATTTTTACTAGTTTTTGACTTATTTAGTAAGTTAACTTGCTAAAATATATACAGTATCATCGTTTTCTTATTCTAACCAGTTTTTGTATTTTTTCTCAGAAATAAGATATTTTTCTGCAGTAAAAAGTAACCTATATGTTGACCCGGATAATCAGCGATGACCATACCAAATTTCATCAAAATCCGTCCAGTAGTTTTTCTGTGATGCGGTAACAGACAGACAGACGGATGGACGGACGGACAGACAGACAAAAATTCTAAAAACTATAGATTCGGCCTCTGTATCGATAATAATGTCTATTTCAATAAGATTTTACAAAAAATATTTAATGTACAGATTTATTTGACTTAGTTAGAATTTTATTATATGTATAGATTCTAGTAACATCTTTATTTATATAACTAATTTTTATTTTATATAAGGTAGGTCTTCTATAAGGTATATTAAAGGTAACCTATGTATGACCGTTCGCAAGATGCTATAAGTTTGCCAAATT